CCTTCCCAACACTTACTAAGTGCTATCAACATCTCAGTTGCGTTTGGAAATCTTAAAAAATATATATTACAATAGCACAGCTTCCTCTCTGATTACATTCAAACACTATCACTACCCCACTTTAAAGGGATACCACTCTTAAGCTTAGACTGGTTCACTGATTATTAATGGACTGCTCGCATGCTGTGAGTCAACCACATCATTTGCCATAATTCCTCCTGCTAAAGGCTTTAATTATCAAAAAGATATCCTAGTTGGAGCCTGTGAAGCAGAGTCGATGCCTAGACCCCTTTACATCAGGGCAGCCGTGTCCGAAAACGGCCATATACTGCAGCGTCCTGGAATCTGAGTGACCTCCGTTCTAAGCACCAGGAGACTGAGCAATCTGCTACAGTGAAGAGTAATAAATTATACTCCCTTTCTTGTAGCAAAAGAGCTACACAGTTGGTTAAAACTACCTCACACTTAAAAGAAACAGACTCGAGACTATGGAAAGATTCTTCTTTATATATGAATTTGAGGCATACCACATGCAAATAGAAGTTGAAGCCAAAAAAAGAAACTAAGTGCACTGCAGTTCTAGTTCAGTTACAGCACATGAGCAGAAGAGAGCTAATATTTCATCTTACTCTTGCACAATTAAAAGCTGTAGAACCGGAAGTCAGAAAGCTCAGGCCTGTGTTGAGCATACAGTGTTTTGTTGAACTTCCTCCCACAAAGTGCATTTAGAAAAACAACAAACAGAGAGTAAAAAGCATTACTTTCATATAAACCATGAGGGCGATTACATAGAGCAATAGATCAGCTTACTGATATATGAAAGGGAGAAGTACTTGCCAAGCAAAACTTCTAAAGTTTCCAAACTAGATTGCCAAGTGTAACGTTTAATAGTTGTAACTTGAACTGCAGTCACCCTAAAGATTTTGGTCAGATTCGTTGCAGGATCTATCCTCAAACATGCAGTATATCCAAGTAACCCTGATCAATCATGCTCAAAAAAGGAAATTTCAAGGTAAGTGTAATTAGTAAGCGTGTAATTCTCTCAACCACTTTCTTCAGGACAAGCCCCTGTGGTGAAATTCTGCATTACTGGAGAAACTCTGATAACGGAGCCCATAGATTAGGAATTAGGAAATAAAGTAAGACTTAACTAGATCAAGACAAGCCTCAGCAAAAGCATCATAATTTTGCTTTCCCTTGACGTCGAGAACGACTTAGAGACTGGCAGGCAAGATGCAATGTTTTTTTGTTTAAGCGGTTCTCAGACTTCCCAGAAAGCCCAATTTTTCTCTCCTCTTCCTAGAAGGCTGCAACATGTAGGTAAAAATACCGGTTCCCACAGCTCAGATCTAACTTCCAATGATCAATTGTTAAGAGCTGTTTAATGTAAGAACAACAAATAGATTGTAGGATGAATTTCCCTACCCTGCTTAGGCAATTTTAAAAGAGTAGCTAAGCCCATGGCCTCTTTAAATTGAAAAGGAAAGTTTAATTTCCAGTTACTAACAGGTAAGCAAAGACCCGTAACCTAGTTACAATGTTTTTTGTAACAACTACAGAGCTAAAGCAATTACAAATGACATATGCTGTATAACAAGAAGTATTTTAAGACATTGTTTGAGTATCTAATGTCCCTTTCTCAATAAACTGGCAGAATTTTGGTGCTCAGTTAATCATCTCATATTAGACACGTTTTGCCGCACAAAAGAGATCTTATCTCTGTGCTAGAAGTTACTTGTAGAAAATTGGCCCTAAGCTTAAAAAACAACCAGCAAGCAATGTCCATATGCTGAAGACTGAAAATGGGAAAACATTAAGTGAAAGCTGCAGTTTTACTCGAGAAGCTAGCAAACAAACAATAATTCTATTTAAAGGAGCTTCTACCAAAAAAAAAAAAAAAAAAACAAGCACAAAGAAGTCACGTTAGTAAGGCAGCTTTCACACCCTGTTGTTAAGTTTTGCCAGTAAGGCCAAATTGGATACCATTTCTTCAAAGAAAAAAAAAAATAGAAGAAAATACATATGTATTTTTCTATATACACACATGATCACCTCAAATCACTGCACCCCATAAGGCAGAGCCCTCTGTTCTCCATTGTGCTGCCAGAGCTCAGTACCTGGATTCATCCACCAACAGACATTGAGAACAAATACAGAGCGTTCCTAACTGACTTGTATACAAGAACATCCGATATCGATGCTTTCTCAACTTTGCAATGCAGAAAGGCTAATAAAATATGGATCAAATTTCACAGCTCCCCTGAACATCATTTTATCACTGTTCAGAGCTACATTTTGAGGAAACAAGTGCAAGAAGGGTAACATCCATTTCCTCCTTTTGTTCTTGACATTAAAAATAATAGTTAGCAAATTTGATTTCCTTAGCTGTTATTCACATTAGCTTGTGTACTACCTACCTACGTAAAATATTCGGGTACAGAACACACGATCAAGTGCCCTGCTGTGCAACTCCCTTCCCCAAGGCTTTTTCAAATTATTGCTTTTCAAATTAATAATCACCTCTTGAAGGGGCAGAAGACTCCTGCAG